GAAAAAAAAAAAAGAGCACCCAATCATACTGGTTATTAGTTAAACATATTTCGTGCATCAATTATCTGGCAATCTGAATTTGCATAGGTACATTCCAGGATACCCTTTGGTACAGACATTGAATCCTCTCCATTCTCGTCATAAGTGTTGCTATTTTTGCTATACAAGAGTGTTTTGATCACTGTCCAATTTATACAAATTAATGTTATTACTAATGCTACTTCACACACTTGATTCCCAACAAAAAAGCCTATATAAAAAGGGTCAACTTTGCTTATGGCAAATTATTTCCCAGAACTACAGATCTGTTTTCAGCAATAGGCTGTAACATTTTTCCCCAGATGCTTATTTACACAGACTCCTTTTCATTGCTCTAAGAAATTAGCAGGGTATTAAACTGAGGGTCTTATTTTTAGAATTCAAGGCTAGATATATCTAGAGCTCTCTGCTGCATCCTAACCAAGGTGATATTAGGCAGAACAGGAGAAAGCAGGTCTTTAGTAACTAACTTTCATAATCAATGGTACAACATTAAAAACATCTGCTATCTTAGAAGATGTATCTAAAATATCCAATGATGTTTGGAGAAAAAAAAAAATCAATACAAACTGCATGTAATTTTGCTATCCTAGTCTGTGTGCATCCATTTAACATTTATAGGACCACAAATCCTTTGCATACCAGTTTGTTTCTTTTTTATATACCAGATAATAGTATACTTACCCACTATTCCTTTTTTGTAGTATCAGCACAATGCAAAGTTGTCCTGAGTTCATGCATGTATTTGAACTCATTACAAATTACAATCTATTTTTAATGAGTTACTGGGTTAAAGGCCCAATTTTTCCAAGGGATTTAGATACTTACCTTCCACCAAGATCAGTAGGAGACAGGCACCTAAATATTTTGATATCTGGACCCAAGTAGTTGTGCATACATTATGTTAATTTATGACAGCAGACAATCAATTCATTTTTAGGCCTAATTATACTGAATCTCAATCCATTACCTAAATCTAACCAAAACAGCATTTTATATCATCAAGACAGAATGGTTCCAACTTAATTCATCTACAATTAACGTCAATGAAACTAAACCATTCTAAAGTGAAAGTACATTCAGGGTTAGTGCCATTAGTACCAGAAAATTCCTTTATAGCATACAAAAGTACAGTGTGCCTAACCCTGTGAATACTTTTGCACAGAAGCACACTTTCTTTTTGTAGTATCTGGCAGTGTGACTACCAGGTTTCCACTTCTAGTTCCGCCACTAAATTCTGGGCTGACTTTAGGCAACTCGCATTGCCTTTCTGGCCATCCACTTCTCCATCTAATAAACTAGGACCACAGACCTCTTCCATGAAGGTCCTCGAGATGCACTGATGAGCAGCACAGTATGAACCAAGTACTAGGGCTTTGCATCTCTCTTTACAATAACCTGATACACAAACCTCTTGCAGGGGTTTGGGCCTTATTGTATAGGTATTAGGGACTCAAGTTTTGATTCTTCACTACCCTCAGGAGATACCTTAACAGCCAAATCACTACCCACTCAGAAAAAAAATTTAGGCAAGCTTTTTTCAGAGTGGTTTTTATTTACCTCTTGTACTTGATGATGTTGTATTGGGGTTTTCCTTAAAAAACAAACAAACACTGTGATGGCCCAAAACATTGAGTAAGAATAGCAGTCTGGCATGAAGTTTCACTCCCTTCACCCTTCATTCAAAAAAACAAGATTGCAGTAAAGCTACTGAGCATCTCTCCCTGATTTTGTAAATCACTGAAGTGGCCTCCTTCCTTGTCCAGACAACTCCACTGGGTGACCTGCTTCTCAATACTACACAATAAAATGTTTTGTTCTCAAGAACAATGTTCCTGGTGCCTTGAGATTACAACAAGTTTACTGAAGGTCACCCAAACAGCATCATCTTCAAGGATTAGAGATGAAAGCAGTTCACATTTACTGGTAATTCCCGAGCAGGTGAAAACAAGCAGGAAGTACACAGTACTCCTCCTCTATACTTCAACTCCTCTTCCAAAGTTTCAGTTTCTCTAATTTCAGGAAAAAGAATTACCTTTCAGTCTTTTTTTTGCACAAAATTGCTTACAATGAACCTTGCATTGCCTGATCTGGTTTAACCATTGTGCCTGCAAACCTCATTTCTAGGCAGAACTCAAGTAATCCTGGAAAGAAAAAAGATAAAAAACAGGTTTATTTTTCTAAATAAGTCTGAATTTTTATTTGTTACCCTAGTAAAAAAACCCCAAAAAACAAAAAGTTTGGATTACAAGTGTATGAACAGAATAGAAAAGTACAAAACAGTTTCCATACATTTCTAATACATTAATACAAAGTGCATGACTACATACAGTTCATCTTGCATTACTACAGAGAAAGGAAAAAATGGAAAGGAGCAAGGGGAAGCAGTTGGTGGCTGAAATCTAGCAATAAATAAATAAATACATACAGAAGACAGATGATTGATATTAGAGCACATCCTACCACCAGTACTGCAGCCATGAGCAAAAGGAATCACTGACACTTAAAAACAAACTCAAATGTAAATGGTACTATGTAATTTTGCCCTCCCTTTAGAATGCAAGTAACATGTTTAAAAGAAAGCAAAAACTACAGTGAAAGGGCACTGTAAGGCTGTGAAAATACCAAGCTCCATTTTTTGTGACATCCTGCCAACAACTTGAGACATCTTAACAGAAGGGGAAAAAAAAAAAAAGCTTGGTTTCTGCTTTGAAGTTGAAGGAAGGTTTGTATTTAAACCTGAATCTCTTTTCCCCACTATCATTTTATCTTCTATATGCTCACCAACCAGCAAAGCCCTGCCTATCCAAATTTCATGCTGAAGACCCATAGGAAAAAATAAGTTTTTAGCAGTCCACTGCAGTTTCACAAAAGGATCCAAAAAAAGTCCAATTTCAACATTACGCAAGTTAAACCTTCATAAAAGAAACATGAAGCAAGTCAGAAGCTTAACTATAGCCAACTCTGAAGAAGCTGTTTGCACCCTAAAAGCAAAAGCTGTAGCACACAGGAATGCCACAACCATTTGCACACAAGTTTTAATCAGGAATGTGCATAGGAAATATTAACCCACTGTTTTGCCACAACATGCATAGAGCCATCTCGAGTTTTTAAACAGCATGTACAGAGTCTGCAATAGATCCAGCATTTACAGAAGTGTTACTTCATTGGTTGCAAAAGAAAGGAATACGTTCCAGAACAGGAATCTTGGATCAGACCCCCAGTAAAAAACAAAAAACAAATAAGCAGACAAAACACTGAGGTGCCAAGTTATATCTGGAATGGTGCTCGACTCCTTATCCACGTGGTCTTGGTTGCGACAGGTCCAAAACCAGGACCTGGCCTCTTCTCTGGTTATACTCCATCAGCTGTTTGTTCTTTCATAGATTCCAACAATTCAAGATGGCAAATTCTAAACCCAATTCCTCATCTACATCTGATGTGGGCCACAGGTTGCCTCTCTGACTCTTCTCTGGGTGCGATCGCACAAGGCCTTACATGTCTGCATCTCAGTTGTAATTCAGTGGTTTTACACTTTACTTTTATTCAACTCTTAGTTAAGGAGGGACTGACAAAGATGGCCAAAGAGTTCACCGTCTCTTCAGCTTTCTTGAATACTTAACATTTGGACCCATCTCTCAAATTAGCACTACTCACATAAGGGGTGTCTGCAGTTACCTGTCCTTGCCTTAAACGAAGGATGAAATTAAAGTCAGTCTTTGTTTAAACATCAGTAGTACAGATTTAGATCACCATATATTTAAAAAAAATATACATTATATATATATATAAATAGAAGTCTGGTAAAGAATAGACTTAAACGCTTCTATGCATAGATTCATGCTACCAAATCGTGTCTCAAAAAAGAAATACCTTAAATTGGGGAGAAAAATAAGAATGCTCAACCAACTTAAAATGCATGACACCACCAATGCTTCTCTCAGTATAGAAATATTAAACTACATACATTTTATTATACAGCAAAACCCATCTTCAAGTTCAGTCGTGTAGAGGGCTGTGTGGGGGGAAGAATGACTTAAGGGACAACCTTGCAGCAGCATTCAGCTTTGCTAAGTGTTCCATAGCATCTTAAATATTATGTACTTTTTTTTTCCTGGAAAAAAAAAAAAAAAGATGCAAACTGGTTTCAGAGTCTGTGGAATTGTGGCAGTAAAACCAAAAACAGTTTTAAGGAATGGTCTTTTGGCAGCATAGCAGGTGTCCAAAGTGAAGAGAGGGTCATTTTCTAGTATCTTCCAGAGAATAAAAAAGGTTCCATATAAACCTTTTTGCTATTTGCTGAGGAAGTCACCATTCCTCCTGATTGGAGACGGCTGGAGATTGGGGTCCCTGTGGTTCTGGCTTCTCAGTGTCTGACTTCTTATTGCTACAGCATGGTTTGAAGAGATGAGTGTCTATAAGGACTTCTCCAAAACGTCCTTTGTAAATAATTCCACAGCAGACTTTTTGCCTGGAGGCAGCAGAGGGTGGAAAAAGATATAGTTTATATCTATCTAGGTGCACACATGCATGCAGAAACAGGTACAGATATACAAAAAAATTAATGTAACCAGGATGCCATAGTTTACAATCTAGGGGGCATGTCTACACATGCTTTTATGCAGGCCTAAATTTAATGTGCATTAAGGCGATTTAGGTGCATGTCTACACATGCATGCACTAAGGTGTATTAACATGGTGGATGGACCAACTTGGCACTAAAGTTAGTGCCAAGTCAGTCTACATATGCAGCAGGCACTGTAGCTGTTCACTCTAAAATCTGATACCTGCTTTTGCAGGTATCAATTTCAGTGCAAAGAGCCGTAAAAAAAATAAAAACAAAATAAAAGTCACTATTAAGGCAGATTATGAGTATGCACATATAAACCCACGCCCTTAATATGCCTTAAAAATGGCCAATGCACCTCAAAATTGGCATGTGTAGATGCACCCAGCTATTAGTTTAGATCTTAGGCACCATACACATACTCGATACTTGTGCCTATTTTCCATCTCTGCTGACTTTTCCTTAGGATATATGGAAATTTTTGGTCATAAAGAGACATCAACAAGGGGGGGGGAGACAGACCTACAAGGAAAACAAAAAACCCACCCAGAAAGAAAAAACAAAATAAGCAAACAGATCCCACAGAACCAAAAACAGGTCTGTATCTAAATCCCCTGAACTGCTTTGAAAAAAAATTAAGTCTGAATTTACATTTCCTACTTTGCTCCTTAAAGTTGCATGAATATAGACATGTGTTTGTTTTTTTTTTGTTTTTTTTTTCCCCAGAGCTATTTTAAACACATTGTACCTGTGAAGGCCATTTTAAAGGCAGTAAGTCACATGCATTTGACAAATATACTGAACAAGAGGTCAGTACATTCACCATGTAGCAAAAGCAGGAAAAAAAGGGATCCTAAGCCTCTAGGAAAACCCAACATTCCCCTATTTCAAATATTTTCTGACCATGATCATGGATCAGTTATGCAACCGATTTGTGTGGGTGTTGCTCATAGTTAGCTATACCCCCTGGACCTTTTGAAGTACTCCCATATGTATGCGTACCCCTGGTTGACAACCCCAATCTAGACATTTCATCTGATATTTAGTATGCAGAAGCCAATCTTAAAATAATTACAAACCCTCCACGGAACAGCTAGATTGGTGTTATTTCCTACTGTCAAAATGTCAATTATTTCAGACTAAATATCTTTAATACTTTGAGGGGAAAAAAAGTCTTAAGAACACAGCATTTCTTTCAAGAGGATTTTCTTCCATGGGTCCAAATCCACACTTTCTGTATTACTGAATAAACTTAAGCCACAACCTTAAATATTGTGTTCTTCAACAGCTGTCTATGAATGCTGTGGAAATTGCTAAGGAAGAAGTATAGTGTGCCTTGTAATTAAGCTGAATTGCTGGGTGCACTAAATGTTTTTGTTGCCTTTTACCTTTTCCAGTAGGTGAGATCTAAAAAGGAGAAGACTGGTGTTCTGCTGGACCCTGGGCTGATCTCTGTGTCAGAGCCATCATCAGACTGGTTACTGTAACAGGGAGACTGAGCTGGAGAGGCACTTGAAGTGGTGCTGTGGGCATCAGAGTCTACAGGAGAACAAGGGGGTGCGGGGAGAATTGTGTGCAGTTTACTAGTTAGTCATCTCTACCACCAACAGGTCAGACATAACATAAGAAACAGAATTGAAGACACTTTTCTAGTACAAAGTAATGCTACTATCAACTAGCTAGGAAGACCATAAACTGATCATTTCCATTGACTCCTGGCATTTTCAGTAAAATCCTGGAAGGTCATGCCAGCAATTTGGAAAGATCCTATGGACAAGGATGGTCTTGTAGGCAAAGCATTGCACTGGCACTTCTGGGACCTATTCCTGTCTGTCACAGGCTTCCCCCACAACCACAGACTTGAGGATCTGGTCCCACTGACATCCATGACAAAACTCCTAATGGCTTGCATCCTTAGCTCTGAAAGTCAGGGTATAACAGCTTCTCCCCACTCCCTTTACCGTATCAGTTTGGACTCCAAGTCCATGAAGCCCCTCATCCTTGGGACTACTTACAGCACATGACGGTAGGTATGTATGGAAGTGTGTCAGTCAAGGCCTTGGACTCCTTGGGACAAAGCCAGTCTCTCCCCCCTTCACTATGTGCATGGCCAGCATCTAGACTTTGCTGTTTTGCTCATGCTAATTTACATTTGCATACACTACTGTCTGTTCCAAGGGCACAATATGAACAACAGTAAAACCCAGAGATCTTTGGAAATTGTTCTTCGTGTGTGTCCTTCAAGTCAGGTAATAACAAAAAACAGATAAGGGAATAAGACGACAGTAGTTACATGGCTGGAGTATTCTACTGCTAAGGAAAGAGCTAAACTGATTTTAAAATAACACCTAATTGATTGCACTGGACATTATCTAGATTAGGCCAATTAACTGTAAGCTGCTTTGGCAATGAACTTGCGTTCCTAGTATTTCTCAACTTACTGTGCCTTTTGAATTCCTTTTGCAGTTTGCTGATCTGATTGCTCTTCATTCTGCTTCCAGAAAGAGTTTTCATTTTCTTTGGTTTCAGTGTCGTTTTAAGACTGGGTCCAGCCCTTGCATCCACCACCTGAAAGGCAACATAGTAATTGAAAAGTATTCAGTTACTTCTACTCTTAGTTCCTTATCAGAGCTCAAGCATGGTTTATGCAAGAAAAGTTGCACTAGTTTAGCAACAGGTGTTACTTTAAACCCATTTAGTTTAACTAACAACTGTGTGTTGACATTTTTCTAGTCATTTAAACTTAGCTTGGAACTAGACTATTCTATAAAAAGAAAAGTAAAATGGGCTTAACACACCTTCAGGTGAACTAGTGCAACTTTGTGTTGACAAATATTCATCTTGGTTTGCAGCTGTAATTAAAGTCAACACAAATCAAAGTAAAGAGTGTTCACACAGTTTCTGCCTTGTTTGTTTTAAAACTGGTTTGAGCTAACTGTTGGATGGGTAAGCCCCAAATAGTGGCAGCATGCTTAGCTCCCATGATACGGTCAAAGTCCTCATGGAAAGAGGGACAGCAGGAAGAAGCTCTCTCCCCCCAACTGTAGACCCAAAACAAACTGCTATATCCAGTCAGAATGTGCAAGAGGGTGTGATGGTGAGAGATTAGTCATTTTAATTATCTGACCAAGCCAAGTTGATTTATAATGTTGCTTAAGCAAGTCACCTGGCTTGTTCAAGCAAAAAACAAAACAAACTTTCACAGCCAAATTACTATCTTTGGACTTAGGCCACATCTGGAACATTTGGATGTCAAAAGGAAGACTTTTGGAGAAACAGCTTGTGAAAATTAGAGTGGTTTCAGCAATGATATCCTGTGTATGAACCAGGTGAAGGCAGGGAATAGCCATAGTCAGTTTTAAGTAGCTTTTACAGATGCCGAGCATGAAAGAAAAAAAGAGTCACTTAGCAGTGCCATTACTAGATGAATAGGGACTGAAGGAGGTAAATATTAAAATCATAGGGGGGTGAGGAAATAAAATAGCTGACTAACATGATTCCAGTTTTTTTTGGATCCTGCTGGCAGTTTTTTCCATCTTTTCACCAAGAGAACACATGCATTGCAGATGTCTCCTGACCGGGCCTCATGGAGCCTATCAAGAAAAACAAAACAGAACAAAACCCTTGCTTACTGGTTAGCCTCTTAAAGTCAAAACAATTGGCATAAAAGCAGGGAGGGTGGGGTGGCAGATTCTCGAACCAAGACTTTCAGAAGTGATTAGCAATGGTACATGTTCAACTTGATGCATCCTAAAAAGGGATCTAATGCTCATCCAATATCCATATATTCAATTGGAATAGGGCCTTTTTGAAAAAAGGTGCCTCAGGCTGGGAGCCAATATATAAAATAAACCATTTGCCTCTTTCAAGCAACTTTGGCCCCAACATATTAAAGATGAGTCATAACCCTCTGTAGGATCAATTTTTATTCAATTCCAAGATGATGTTTTTCCTCCCTCCCTTTCAACATGGTGGGAGGGGAAACCCCCCCCCCCAAAGCCTCATCTCAGAATCAAGTATTTAGTCAAAAAGCAGTCAGAAGAGGCAGCAGAAATCCACTCAAAGGCATGGGGAGGTGTGGGAATTCTTTGCTTTTGAGAGGCTTGTTAATACCAAAAATTTATAGGAGATAGAGCTATAAAGTTTGCATTAAAATTCTATAAATTCTGAAAAGAACCCCGAAACACTGTAAATTTGACTGACATGCCTGGATGGGACAAGCCAGTTTTTGTTCAATGTTCAGTTACGGGCCCTATGTTGCTAAACATGCTTCAGACAGCCCCAAAACAAAAGCATAGATGTACTGCTTTGACACTTCAGCAGGTCACCAGACATTTAGCTGAGGCCAGACCTCCAGTGCCAGATTCACACACACAGGTCATGATCAAGAGAAATAACTGTAAAGACCAAGAATCTATTTCTATAAAAAACAGGAAAAAGGAATAAGGCAAAGTAAGGGTCTAACCCTGCTAATGCTCTCAAAACCTTCCCACTATGGGTGGCACCCATGTAGCAAATGATACTGCTCACTTGTCAAAAAAAACAGGCAGAAGCATGTTTAAAGGGTATAAATGCTCACAATAACTGAACAAACTGGTGGGAACAAAAGGAAAAAAAAAAATGTATCAGAGACAATGACAACATGGACATTTTTGCACAGTAAATGCTGCAGTGGATAAACTTCTACAGCTATGAGAGTCCTACTGCTATGGCTAATTACAAACTACGTGCATTAAAAGAAATAATTACAAGCTGCCAAGTAGGAACTGGATGCCTTGACAACTTGATAAAGATAGAAAAATTCAAGGTTATTGTAAGACCATTTCAGAGGGCCAAAGCTACGTGGTCAAACCAGCTTTAAGTGAGCATTTTTAAGTTGTGCAACTTAGTTTATTAGGGCTTTGAAGCATTTTTTTTTTCCAGGCTCTTTTCACATCACACTTCTGCTGTGAGAGTTTACCTTTACAATGGGAGCCCCTATTCTAAACTGAGAGGCACCACTCTTTCGAGCTAAGAAAATGACTTACAAAGTTTTTGAGTTTTAAATGAAACCCCAGAAGATTTTATTTAATCGAAGTCACAAAAGCCTCCACAGCTCTATTGTGCTCTACTGCACTACACCTGCACCTTCTGATGTGTTGGCTCTTTGTACAGGTCTAAACTAACACAAAGGATGCATCCCCACAAGCATGCAAGTCCAGGGGTATGCATTTCCTATGGGACAAATAGTGACACATTTATGCCACTGATATTAGTCTCTGGACATGCCCCTGCACACGCACTCTGGTGCATGGCAAGGTGACCCTGGTTGGGTAGGGGAGGCTGGGGACTGCACCTGCATTGGCCCCAGGGCCTTACCCAGGGTGCTGGGGGCCTCCTGGGGCAGCAGCGGTGCCAACCCAGTTGCTTGGAGCTTGGCCAGCAGCCAGAGCAGGATGCCTCTCTGGTGTTATACTGCTGCCACATGCACCAGGCTGCTTTTTTCACTGGTAGCTTTTTTGTTGACACCAGGATCTTCCAGTGTCAAAAAAAACTGCTGCGTTGCAAGTTAACAGGATGGCGAATGGGTGCAGGTGCGCTTTGCAGTGCCGTAAGCTGCTTTGTGGTTCCACAAACCACATGTGCATGCTCACAGGCACACCCACAATGTCCAAGCCGTTGGAACAATGCAGGCCAGGTCCTTCACCAGTATGAGTCAGCAGTATTCTCCTGAAGTCACTGGAGCTGTGCTATAGCCCCACGCTGTTTGTGTAAGCTGTGGAGGCCAAAGCCAGCTCTATACCAAACTCTTATCAGTGCCTTTAGTACTGCACTTGAGAGAAACTTAACTTTTCAAGTTTGCTGCTTAAAGGCAGAAGTGAGAACCAATAGAAATGACAATACACATTTGCCTGGCAGAGGATCTTACCCAAAGCAGTTCTGGAAATCCTTTTCATAACGTTTACTGTCAGTGAAACGAGAGCTGGAAGACTTAGCCCTGCAAATACAGCAGCCCTCTATACTTCGGTACATCTTCGGTTTGTGAAAACCAAACATCTTTCTTTGCTGTTGTCTGTGGAACAAAGAACTACCATCACTTAATCTCTTCAAGTCATAGCTTGGGGATTAAAAAAAAACGGAAGAAACAGCCTCATGGGTAACTGGGTAAAAGTTATATATAGGTTACACTTCAGGAGGGGGAACACCCTTATGAAAAACTTCTCACTTAAGATGCTCTTGCTATCCCAACATGATCTTTAAAACAGTGGCTCTCAGTCTTCTTAGACTCAAGGCATCCCTCAGAAAATGCCAGCTCTTAGTTTTCATTTTTTGACTACAGGAAAATACTAAAGCAAAGAACTCTGCAAGACCACCGCAGATCAGAATGCTTTTAACACTACATTCCTACATAAAAAAATCTCTATGTTTATCTTGTCAATCATGACTGCACACCTAACAGCGCTAACAGTAATTTAGAAGGACAGGTACTTAAAGCATGCTTATTTTAAATTCAGCACAAAATAGCTGATGTCTGCTGGGTCCCAAATCTGAGTGCCTCAAGCCAATCTAACTGGGCATATGACTAGGTCTCCCAGAATATAGGTCTACATGAAAGGTATGCCTACGTTGTAGTCTATGGGTCCAAATGCAGCTTGCACAGACACCCTTGAGCTAGTTTTAACTAGTTCACCCAGCTGATGGCAGCAACATGCTAGGGGGGCACCCCAGAATTTCAGCATGGCATATACAACCCTACCTAGGGCTCTGGGTAACTATGGAGTGCCAAAGCATGTGCCACAGCAGTTATTCTGCCACTTGTCCCCAAACTGGCTAGGTAAGTACTAGCACAGATATATGTTTACATGAGCTACAGTCATAGCACCAGGCTGCAGTAGAGACCTAGCCTAAAAAAAAAAAAA